ACACCAAATCGACCAATTTCCCATAATCCAACTGCTTGTCCATATTCTGATATAGAATAATTATAACTTTAGGGCTTGCTGCTTCGATTTCGTAATCATATAAAGTCTCACCAGTAATATTTCTTGAAAAAGCTCAAGAAATACCAATACTAAATATGAGAGGCAACACAACCTCCATTGACGCTGACAAATTATTTGAAGCGACATCGGAGTCGAATCCAGCGAGCTTTAGTGGATATCTGTCAGTTATTTATTATTGTCAGATCTCTATGGCACCCTCGATTTAATTACACGTGTTCAGAAATGAAAAATGAGTAGGATTTTATATGAAAATTTCTATGCTTTCTTTCCTTCCTACCAAATCGACTTGGCCGCGAAATAAAATAACTATGGTAAATCCCAGCTAGAGACCATAAGTACACGCGCAGCGTCTGCCTATCCACATTCTCTGTGTTGTTATTCAGACGAAACGTGCGTAAATTTTCATAAAAATTTCGATAGTCACTTTTACGTGATAGTTTGCAATTTACTTGAATTGTTTATGCATTTGTCATGTTTGCAACAACGGCATTTTTTTGTTGAGAAAAGATGCGTGGCCTTCCTACTGTGTGTGTTTTTCTGTGAAGAAAAAATATGAGGGAAAAAATGCAGTGTAAAGTGTTGCTTTTCATATCACAATATTCACGTCTTTCGGCCCAGAAATAGTCGGGAAGCGCATTTCAGCTTGAAAAATTGTCTCACCCCTAATTAAATATTGTGTTACAGGTAGAAATTTTTTGGAAATTGGACAATACAATCAGAGGAGGATTTGAGGATACAAAATTCTCCAGAATCCTCAGCGACACTCGCGATGGATATTCGAAGTTTTTTTGTGTTTTAATATTATACTGTTATAATATTATTATATTGGAAGTTGCAATGCCGCTTTTTGTTCTATTTATTATTAGCGGAATCTTGCAGTAACACCATCAGATCTCTTCACAACAGAGAAGAAGAGGTAAGAGGCAATTTTACTTAGAACACCTTCAAAATTTAAGAATATATTTTTTTTTTCTTTCTCTTAGTTTTTAAATATCATTGTAAGCTCAAAAAATTTAGTATAAGATATATCCTCATACGAAAAAAAGAACTTTGTAGTGACAGAAAGGAGTATATCCAAGGAGTATAAACTTCTCAGTGTGTAGAGAGGAGCGGAAATGTGGCATGTGCCGTCACAAGCCACATGCAAATCAAATGGAGATTGCTCTGATTTTTGTTGTCTAGCATCCAAAGTCGGTAAGACCGACATTCTGGGCGACACGCATCTTCTTCAAGATTCCAGCCCAGCCTTACCGGCCAAGTAGTGAGGGACTCGCATAAATCGATACAACCGATCATTGATTGATCGCTTCGAGCAAGTACACAGCACATGCACCATGAAAGGCCAGCGCTAATATAGAATGTCATGTACACACACAAGCACCCATTGTATGGCTGGAAATAAATTAAACATTCGGCCAAATTCTACCTCGACAATGTATTCAGATCATTTTCATCAATAAAAGTTTGAAGTAAAGCGATTTTGATTTTTATAACTGTTTTATTTGAGAAGAGGTGTAGGACTGCGCTGTGACAGAGTATAACACATGTCGTGCGGACTGTGATCGATAAGTGTATGAGACACGCTCTGGAAAAAGTCACACAGAAATCTCTGATCTCTCATATAAGGTGTGTGGTATTTTGTAAGCGATATCTGTGACATGTCTTTGAACTGTTTGCGAAAAGAAGTATGGAACAGTGTATGAAATGGTCATACTCAGCGACCATGCTTTAGTCGCAGAGAATGTAAAGGTCACAGTATTCTATACCAAGGTCTATCAACGATTCTGTCACCAAGCTCAAACACTGTTTCGGGTATGTCAGTCGTCAAGAACGGCCGGGTTGAGATTCCCGAAATTCTGTTAGCTGTCATTTGCAATGGTTATGGCCTGCTGAGGCAGACTTGAAAGCTGAAATGATTACATACGCGAACGATATGGCACACTTCTATGGTGGTGTGTGCGCGGAGGAGATGCTTTCTGGTATAAATTGGGGCCTTGGAAAACTGAGAGCGTGAATGGGTTTACATGGCATGCTGATCAGCATTAAAACGGAGTGCATTGGATTTAGCCTATTGTCTAATGTCCCGGTTGAACACCCAGTGATCTACGACTCTTTCCTATAAACTGCGCTACTCTGTCGGCCCTGCATGAGTTCGTGTTTCCTTATCGCTGTGGTCAATGAATTCAGATACTTGGACCTAGCTATTGACTCTGATCTCGGCTGTTGCACTCACATTAGCAATCTTACTAGGAGCACCGGATTTGTGAGCAGGCAGTTCTATCGTGTTAAGTCTTCTTGCACTCCTGCGGTTTTTTAAACCTTTTACTTCGCTTGTATTTTCTTGTCCTCTCTAAGATTTGTTGTGCTATACAAAGCTATCAGCACATTGCCTGCGCAAGGAGTAAGGTGTTAACTTTTGAGATTTAAATCTCTATTTTTGGTATCCAATACTTACTTTAGGTGCCCTGGCAATCTGTCCGCTAATCGGACGGCCAATATGTGTACAGTGATAGGGGTTTTCTATCGTTGTGCCTTTAAGGATGATAAACATTTTCTTGATGCCCAATAAGGTGTTTTTGAGAACGTCTGACTGCCCAAGACATATTATTTGCACGCAAAAAGACGCTAGAACAGATTTAAGAGCAAGACAGACAAATTGGCCACAAGAAGATAGTTTTGAAGATGTTTTAGCTTCAAAGACTGATATATTAGGCACCGAAATACATTCTAAACACGCCTGCAAACATGTTTTATGTCCAAAGACTGCTATATAGACGTCAAATATGAAAAAAAACCAAGGTAATATGTCAATTTAGTATTTCACTATGCTTTTACTGTTTTGCTATCCTCGTTTTCCGATGCACTTTATTGTGAATTTTAGACATTTGAAAAAAAATTAAATCAAAATTAGGAAGTTGATTGTGAGTTACGTGAAGAAAAATTTGTATCCCAATTATATCTTGGTTTTGGCAACTTCCGAAAAATGTACACGCGAAGAAAAACACTAAATTTTCCTGGTAAATTATATATCATTCTAGAAAATTGTTCTCTTGTCCGACTAATACACATTTTCTTGCAAATAGCATGTCTGTGTTGTGGTCCCCTTAAGAAATCATCCGTATACATTTGGGCTATATATGAAAACCCGCAATGGGATTTTTTGGCTAGATTTTTATGGTCTACTAGTACATTACTGCTTCTGGACGTTAAGCAGACTCCTCCGAAGTTTCGTCTCTTCCATCCCGGTATCTGTATATTTAGTTCCGGAGATCTTTCTATGACGATATTACCTTTGTTTTCACAGCGCCAGAAGTCATTTGCCGACTAACCCACTTTTAGTTTCTTTCGCCACCTCTTATAACTAGAGACAGAGCACAAGACAATTCGAGTGAAGCGTACATTTCATCTGGAACATTCAACAGCAACCCATTTTAGCTGATATAATTTGCCATTGAAAATCCTAATTTTTTGTACCCTGCTATTTTCGAACATCTGCAATCGGGGCGATTTACACACACAACTATAGCATCGACAGTCAATCGCGTTGACCACTAAGCCAAAGCCACTCTCAAACACTACCCTTAAAATAACCCTGAAATTACATGTTAGTGCCCCAAAAACAAAATATATATCGAATTCTTGCTAGTAAAAGCGAAAATTGCATACATTTTTAAGCTACTCCTAAATTAATAATTGATAAGAATACAATTTTATTATTAGGTGGCCAACTGGTATTTTCGTAGAAAAATGCGATTCAAGGACTTCGTTGAAATTCTGAGTGTTGGAGATTGCTCCAATTTTAACGCATTTTACTATGAATTTTTGCACTCTTTCGTAGATTATGAGGAGGAAAATCTGTTTTAAAATGTTAAGAATCTTGCAAGAAGCTTATTTTGCATGCAAATCGATGGGTTATCGTAGAGATTATGTTCGGAAAGGTTGTTTAAATCAAATTTTGAAAATTTTGCGTTTGAAATACAATTTCTTTGCACTATTTTGTCAAATGAGAACAACTAGAGAATATTTACAACCCTTTTTAATTCACTTTCACCCGAAGGAAAGGACATAAGTTGCTTGTTTTTGTTCCTGAAAGAAGTGCTCTTGATTTATATGATTTAATTTGCGTGGTTTTCATTGGTTATCCTGGACAAAAATGCAGTCTATCACAGATATTTTTGTAATTAAACCTAAAACTCTATTAGCAAACATATTCCTCGAGATCCTTCATGTTATCTCGTCATCCTTCTCATATGCAAAACAGTTTAAGTATGTATTAATTTTTGTAAAGTATTGTGGAACATATTCAGCCAATATTGCAGGATTTTTCTTTTGTTTTTTTCCTTGCTGATACTATTGTTCAAGACGGCAGCAGCCGCCACTCGAAGACTTTACAGTAGTAGATTAAAAAAAGGCGCGAGTGTAATAAATATTCTTATTCTTTATATTGGTTATCCTATTAAGTTGCGAGAAAAGACCTTAATGAGTTGAAATTGATATCAAAATTTTATTTCAACTTGAAAATCTTTGACGCAGAACTTGCTTCCTGAACTGGTAAAACAGGAAAAGCCGAAGAATCAAAGTCTCTGCAGCAATAAGTCCACTCATCAATATGTAGCAATTTCCATTAATCCTATTAGAAATAAGAATCAGGCCTTATTCCAGAGAAAAATGGAAGAAAGTAGATTGTCTTTCCGGAATCTACAAACAGTGACGTAGTTAAACATCTGTTTGAGCGTTTTTCATATCACATTTTGTGCAAAGAAATTAAAGATTCTCGTCAATAATAGAATTTAGAGGTAAAAAATAAATATTTGCGCATGTTTATTATTTTCTATTACACTGAAAACCATGAAAAATGGAATGAATTTCTCATATTTGTTAAATTATTTTGAATTTTACAACACTTCCACTTCCCAACACTACCAAACACTTCCAAAAAAGTGTACACGACTTTCAATCATATTATCCCCCATTTGTGATAAACAATTTGTGGTGAAAAAATTTTTGATCACAACACTCACAGTGACACACACTGAATATTCGCTGGATTGAGATAAGTTTGAAATTGATATATCAATGGCAATAGCTCTATTTTTTGCCAAATTTTTTTCCGTTCTACTATGCTTCAACATGTGCAATCGGTGGAGTTCAAACACTCGACTTTAGCATTGAAAGTCAAATAGTTTTACCGCTGAGTCCTGACATAATCGTCCCGTGACATGTCTCTAGCAATAGTCACAAACGACATTCATTGGGCATGCATTCGATTCTATAGGGTCAGATATGCTGTGAAATAGGACGCAATGGAAATGACATAAGTTTATGCAGACATTTGTGTGACATTATGTCAGGTGAGATTGATTTATCAATTCTTATATGCGTTCAATCCACTATTCAGCGTTTATATTCGCATAATGTAGGTTCTCAGGTACCGAGTAGGCAGCATGGTTGCGCTCAGGGCTCCTCAAAGACACGTAAGTCGCGAACAACTCCTTCTGTTGCCACATTCCGTAATTTTGAGCGTGAGGCTGAATTAATGAATGATGGAGGACCACCGGACAAGCGTTTGTGCCTCAGTGATATATTTCGCCCACCTATGGAAGTTCTACATCGGGGTACATGGGAAAATGGGCGCGAAATTGCACGCACACAGGACAAATGGCTATTGGTAAATGTGCAAGACAATCAGGATTTCAAGTAAGCTTTTCATAAATTTTTGCTTACTGTGAAACTCAGAATATGATTCCTCGTAGATGCCAATGTATGAACAGGGACGTGTGGAGTGATTCAGTTATCCGAGAACTCTTGCAGCAGCATTTCATTATGTGTCAGGTGAGCGCCACCAGTGAAGATGGAGAGAAATTCAGATCTTTCTACAAGGCCTATCATCTCCCCTTTGTCAACATTCTCGATCCGCGTACTGGAGGTGCCGTTGACACATGGCCGTGTGATATAACAAAGGAAGATGCTCGGTCAAACTTACTGCTTTTCTTGAGGAAACGCCCGACGCCTTCTGCTATTTCTGGCGAATGTTTGGCGGAAATTTCTGCCAAAGCACCAGATACCCTGTCTGAAGAGGAACAGGTGAATTTTTTAGCTCTGTACATTTGTAATTTATTCTAATAATCTGAACAGTCATTTCCACTGAGTAAAAAAAAACCTAATTTTTAGTGTTCGTATCCATACTTACAGACTTGTTCCGAAATTTATTATATAACTGCTATTATTTAACTCCAGATGCGTCTCGCCATTGCAAATAGTCTTCGCGACACCCAAATAGAACAAACTATCAATGTTCGTCTCACACTAAAGTTGCCAGATGATACAACTGAAATACTAGCGTGGTCAGAAAATACAACCATTGAGAGACTTATATGCTATGTGCGACAACTTCATGCTGCTCCTTTTCGTCTTATATGTCCTGCAATACGTACAGATCTACTTACTTTAACACCCGAAATCACATTGAAAGCTGCCCAACTACATCCAAGCGCTGTTGTTTATGTACACCCTGACGAATAAACTAGTATAGTACTTAAGTTAAATTATTAAGTAACACCAACTTAATATCTGTGTATTCTGCGGCCACTTGGTTCCCGCATTTTTTTTTCTTCTACTTGCAACGTTTCAGGAACCTTTGCCTTTTTCCTCGGGTATTATTATTATTGTTTATTAGCACACTATATCTAACAATACAATGCACATCAAAATAGTTTACGTATAGTTGTTTTTGAGTTCACAAGTCCCTCGCAAAATGCGGCCCACCTCCGCAGTGAATTGAGAGACAGAGGGGAAGAACACGACTTTGGTTCCCAGGGATCACGTGTTGAACGGGGTAAAGCAGTCTAGTTTAAGAATTTACGCCGCTATAGGCATGCCACTTAAGCTAATCTTAATTCTAGTTATAATTATAATTGTAACAATCTGAAGCATTTACAGTTATTAAGGAGGAGTCATATTGAGATGGAGAATATGCTACCAGCGAGCTAATAGACCAGCGAGCATAACGGAAATGGCTTGACCTGAGAGCAGCAAGAGTAGGGCTTAAGATGGAGAGCCGCAGTTGACAGAGTACGAGTGGAAATGGTTTAAAAAAAAATGGGAAAGATAGGATACAGGACAGGAGATAATAAGAATATGTCAATCATGATATACGGGAGGAGCGGAGACCGACAAAATCGGTTCGTCATTCACAAAGGAAGTGCAGGGAGCCAACCGAGTCAAGGGCACAAGGTAGCCGCGGACGCGGAACACAAGGAACAAAGCAGGAATCAGCCAAAGCGTCAGAAGCTCACACTTTTAAAATTCTAGGGCGAACTTACGCTGATCGTACTATGCCAAAAAAAGGTGGATTTATGTGCAACAGACACAGATCCCAAAAAAACACACCCAAATTCAGGCATTATAAGGACAGACAGCGCGCAACATCTTCATTCGCCAAAGATATAGCGCAAAACAAACATTCAGAGATCAATTACTCAAGTCACTAGGCCACTCCCTCAATCTGTAGTCAGGAGTTCATGATTGTCTTTGATACTTTGTATAAATCATCGCAATATATATTTTCCCTCCCTTAGACTGGAATTTATTCTGTACAGTGTTTTGTAATGGCAATAAACTCAGTAGCGCAGGCACATTCCCCAGTCACACAAGGCTTCACACAAGGTCTGGCTGCCCAGAGACAGCTCAGAGCACAGGATCCACACCCCCCTCACTCAGATGTGGCACTAACCATCCATGACTCTTCGCATGGTCGAAGCCAACCTCAGCATATCTCATATATGTCCGTTGCTCTTTGGCTACTCAGGAGCAGCTCAGGGTCTCTTTTCCATTTGCCCTCAGGCATCCTTACTGATGAATATATCAGCGCCGACACGATGGTGCCCATGCTTAGCAACAAATCAAGCACCTATTCATTCCCCAATCACACAATCCACCAGTTTACAGGCAGGGAAGAGCCTCAGGTGACCCATGCGATCACATCCAGGTGTCACATCTACTTACACAAGAAAACCTCGACTCAGATGGTATACAAAGCATCCACAGTGGGATTCAGGCAATTTCTCTCATAAAGGTCTCATGACAAATTGCCTCTCGAAGACTTCGCGGCAGGGTATTGAAATAGGTTGAGTCAGCATACAAGGTGGTGCGTTTGAATAGCTCACTTCTTGAGAAGGGGAGCTCAGCCAAATTACCATTTCTTGTATGACGCTGTCCAAACTATTCCAATCGTTCAGGACCGCTGGAATGTTGGGTGCGAAAATATACTATGACTCAGTACATCTGAGTAAAGCTTTTTCCAACTCTTCCAAATAACCAACAAAAGTTTCGGAAATAGTTAATAGAGTAATTATTTCTTTTATTATAATTTTATATTGATCATTAATAGTGCTGTGATTAATGGACCTAATCAAGAACCCAATTAAAATGGTGTTATAAACAATATTTTTTTTAGCGCTCGTGAGAGATATGGAAAATTCAAAACTGGAGTACATATTCAGATATCAAATTAGTGATTTCTAATAATTAAACATATAAGATGACTGTCTTAAGGAGAGTAGTTGAAGACAGAGGCGTATTTTCCCTAAGTGGGAAGTCGCACGACTATGAAAAATATACAAAGAGTCAAAATTGCTAAAAAAAAATACAGTTGCGAAGGATTTCCAACACCAAAGATGACTAAAAGGTTCCCTAAGTGTCCTTTACAAACCAAAGCGGCGGCTAGAAATCTACCAAAAAAAATTCAATATGGGTTGTAGGAACAATGCGTGAAATTTCGTGTGGAATTGAACAATGCGTGGATTTAGACAATAATGCGATAGACAATAAAGGACTGTTGGCCGTCCGTTTGACATCGTATCTAAATAGTAATTCGGCATGTACTGTGTCCACATTTGTATTTACATGTGAAACGACAGTTAGATAGATAGATAGATACAGTTCATTCCTTAAATTCTAAGTTCGGGAGCGTGGAGATCTTTGGTTGGTGGCCTTATGTCTTCCTCAAGCTCTGCTGAACGATATTCGTGTGTGTTCCGAACGTTGTGATGCGTTTTTCCTGTGCTCGCCGTGGTCGCCATGAATGGAATGAATGGTGGTGGTCCTCATTCTTGATGTCCAATCCGGCTGGGCAGATGCATGTGTCATCTTTATTAGTTTGTGGGTTTGTCTTTTTTTTTTTTTTGCTGATTTGCTGGCGGCATTGTCTTGCTGATGGACTTGTCCGTGAGGCTCTTTATCCGATGCAGCCTATGATTACCCCAGAAAATTGCTTCCCCCCATAACAATCCAGTTCTTTCCTTGATATTTCCAAGTATTTATCCATTTGTTATGTCTTTGTCCATGCCCAATTCGATTTATTGCGTTTTGCGGGTGTCAATTGACCAAATAACTCCCAACACATGAATGAATGCTTTCCTTATATTCCTTTTTTCTGGCCAAGGGAAACATTTCCATTGAAGTTTTACAAACCTCAAGTTGGAAATCAACAGTCAGTTTCGTCTGTTGGCATTAAAAATGACTTTTTATTTCCCTTGTCGAGTCAATCGCTCACAGCATTCAGAAGGTGAGGATTGAACCCGGGACCTCTGTGTCATTAAGCGAGAGCGCTATTGACTATGTTAAGAGGCCGCTTCCACCTTGTATATACAGGGACAGAGCGCAAGACCAACTCCAGTGAAGCGTATGTTCCAGCTGGAAAGTGCTTATTTTTGCACTCTGCTGTGCTCAAACATTTGCAAGCGGTGGGATTTGAACACACGACTGTAGCATCGAGAGTCAAACACGTTGACTATTGAGCCACAGCCGCCGAAACGACAGTTAATGGATACTCGACTGTGTCAAAAATGGTGCTTCTGCGCATATTTATTTTTATGGCGATAAAAACTATTTTCACTTTGAGAAAATGAATCAAGTACCAAATTTATTTTCATTTCATGCGCGTTTTATATCATATAAAATGCCGTCATCGGAAAAGCATTGAGTCCTTGACCAGAAAACAGAAAAATTGAGAAATTCTCTGTCATCTGGGTATAATACTCAGATTTCCAGAAAATTTTGGGGACGCCAATTATGGCCAACTTCAGATCGCCGTAAGCATATCAATTGACAGTCATTTAACTGTATTCCGAGCGCGACATGTCCATGGCGGTCTCATGATTTTTCGCTTAACGCTTTTGTCATAATCAAGACTGCTCGCCACCAGGAGAGCCGTTATTGTATTGTATGTAAATCTGAGTTCAATCGTGATTTTACTTCCAATCGAGCACAAACCGATATATATATACCTTACAGAATGCCTTACGGAATGCCTTAGATAAACGAATAATGTAAGGTCAAAACTGCAACTGGATTCCACGCACTTGGTGCTCAGCAGTCAGTGTTTCAATGTGAGTCCGCCATTGTCCATATAAGTAGTTATCGCAAATCGTCTTAGAGCGTGTTACAGCGTACTTAGTAGGACCGTCAAGTATCGCATTGAACCTTTTGGAAGCCGACAGTGTTACTAAGACGTAGTGCCCCGTGGCGCCTCGATGCCTTAGGCCAGGCGTCCCTGACAAACTCATAAGCACGCACTAGCCTACTTTAATGAGTCTGTCAGTGCTAGAGCTTTCCCAACGATTGGAGAATGTCCTCGACACAGACTACAACGTAAGTACATAGACATCAGCCCTACGCTTGCCGCGTGAAAAAATTTTGCCAATAAAATTCTAATTACTGATACGTTGATTTATTTGAATTCTGTGAAACCTCGGCAAACCTTTGGCAACAATTATTGGCGCCAACACCAATAAAAAATTAGTTCGCTGTTGGTTGTTGTTGCATATGTGTAAATTACCATTCGAACCAAAAATTCTAGATTTTTCTGTAAATTCGAAACTTGAGCCTGACTGTGTCAATTGTATTGCAGCTACAGACTTGAGCTTCGATTCTCTGATGTAATTTTGCGCTATAAGTAGTATAATTTCGTTAGCAGACTATGGTCGATTTTTCTCCAACTTTTCGGGACCCAAACATTTTTTTAACCGCCGAAACCAAGCGTTGTTTTCTAGATTTCTAGCAGCTGTTCTGACAGCAGTGTAAATGAGCTCGGCAAGCTCTGGGCTGAAGGTTGGGAATTGTTTTGAGAATTTCTAGAGGTATTACCTGATTTTTCTCAACTTCTTCTAAATATATGTAAACGGGGCGTATCAAGGGGATTCCAATGTGGGTTTTGAGTATCACTGCAGCTTGCCTCTCCGATGCATCTCGGACCAAGTGACACTGCATCTCCGACATTAGAAACCCCTTTAAGGCGCATTGTTATGTCTGTGTAAGTGTATGTGTGGTTGGTGCCAATAAGTAAGTTACTTGCCACCGTAAGACAAAAATTTGTCTAGATATCTCCTTTAACACCCCGAACAGACTGGGCTTTTTACATTGATTACATGAGCCCGGGACTTTTTTACGCCCTTACGGGACCTTTTTTCCAAAATACCTATTTTGATCAATTTTTTGCTCGGAAAGATCGCTGTAAACGGTCATTTCACCTTCGCTCTGCATCTATCTACCGTTGCATAGGAATTTCCACCGTTAAAATTCTCATTTTCGTGAAAAACATGTTTATACACTCATCGGTGTGACAGAATGAAACAAAGATACGGCTCTGTATGATTCCTTTTTCAAGTGTTATCACAACTAGGGTGATAAGCACAGCCGCTCGGCACTCGTCGGACTTTTCTACTATTGTGCCAATGTGTTTGAACGTCACTGAATACAATATTTTGGAAATCGGCAAGAAATGTTTAATTTTTCGTAAAATGTGTGAGCAAGATGTGAAGAATATTGTAGAGAAGTGAAAATGGAAGATGACTTCGGACGAGAAGCTGCATCTTCTGTGAAGGATTAGTGATAAAAGTCGGTCAACTGCAAGGCAAGTTGCAGAAGATGGGCTCGGAGAGAAATTGCCGAAGAACATCTTCCGTGCGCATATTCTTCAGCATTACTTCAATGAATTGCTGACAAACTGAGATAGGACGATTTCTGGAGTAAAAGAATCACTGTGGAGCGATTTTTAAACAACCCGACGAATCCGCAGTAGACGCTGAACGCGCCATCAGATATTGAGAGTGGGCGAATCATCAATTTTTGTTAGGAAATCATTCGTCCCGAATTAAAATTTAGGGTGAGTAATTAAAATCAAATGAAATCATGATTAGAAGTTAATGATTATGATATTTTCAGAGGAATTCTTCCAAGATGTCATCAGAATATTGCAGAATTAGTTCACCTTCTGTACTTTCCTGGACTAAAAGATGCCGCGAATAAAGATCAACTCTATTTGAAGGAATGTAATTCAACTTAATTCGCGGCTCTAGATCTCGTTAACGCTCTCACTAGCGTTTACTCGGAAAATTCGCCTTCCGCGATATAAAATACAGGATTTGCAATGTAATGAATCACGATCATAATATTTTTTGGCCAAATTATTTAAAAAAAAATCATGTAAAATTGGTATTAAATGCATGAACTTCCACATAAAATAATGCTTGATAGTTTTATATAATTTAAATTTTGTGAGGAAATAAGAGAAATAAAAACCTTGCATAAAATACACTTTAAATTTGTGTTCTTGGCTGTGTTGGAGCATAAGATTATAAATTACTACTTTTTTTTTGCAATTTTTTAGTCCATGTCGAATTAAAATCAAAATTGATGTTGCAATTAACTTAAACCATTACGGCATAAACACCCTCAATGATTTCTCCCCATAGAAATGTTATATATTATTATTTTTATTATTTATAAAGGCAGTGTAATGAGAAAATAACCATATTTTTTTATTTGCATTCTTCTTTGATAGCTTACAAGCTATTAATTCCCAATCAACTAAAAATACCTTCCAAAGCAGTCGTCATCTGACCAGCGTAGACACGATACAAGATGTTAAACTCATGCAAAATACACAGAAGTCAGTAGAGATATCTATCAGTCAATGGAAAGTTGTTACATTTCGAACTTTCCAATGTGTAGGAAAATCAAATTTGAGGACAAGACGGACATACAGGCATATCAGCTACTTACTACAGTTTTTACTTGTTTTACTGCAGGTTCTCGATATGCCGACAGTGCTGGACATCATTGCAGTACTGGAGAATACGAGTATTACAATCGAACAGTTGGAGAACAGTCAGCTGATTAGATGTATAAACCATATGAGGCGCCATACGGAAGATGACGTTTTGGCGCGGCGTTCTAAGAACCTCATCAAACGTTGGCGTGCTATGTTGCCAGTCGTGTCACCCAACGGCAAGATTGCAAAATTTCGTCACAATGGTGATTCTAATCGCCGACGGAGACATCAGGAAGAAACTCCGGATCTTCTCGAAGAAGTCGCCCTTTCCCCCAAACCGCAAGAGCTCCCAAGGCGACGTGGCCGAAAGCGCGGTTCATACGGCGTTGACGCCATTTTAGGAGACGCCATGGATACGTCGCCATATCTCGAATTCAAGCACAAGGTTAGTTTTGACGTTATAATTGTTCCAATCTCAATTAAATATAATAATAATTATTCAAAATCAAATGAATAATTGGGAGAGATATAAAATTATTATAGAGCAATGAGACAGTGCCCTCCCCCCTACGCGCGCCACCGGTCTTTATTTTATTTATTAATTATTATTATTATTATTATTATTAGAGCAACAAAATTTAGGGCCTGACCCTATTACAATTTGCTGATGACAGACAGAAGAAAAAGTGCAAAAACAGAGATTAAGAATTGACAAAACAAAGAAAAGATTTCAAATCGTCTAGCTATTGATTATGATGGGTCACTGACCAGATCAGCCACCTGAAAGTGCTTCCTGATGCCACCCACGGTCTCGCGCGCCTCACGCGGGAGGGCATTGTAAAGCGAAACCCCCCGGACAAAGAGGGTACGAAAAAAAGTCTCATGCTCAGCTCGAGGAACAAGAAGTCCTCGGAGCCTGGTCGAACCACCCCTCGTCAAGAGTGAAGCCAGATATCCAGGGCAGCCGATGATGGAAAGACGATCTAAGAAAATTAGGGCTCGCATTTGCAGGAAGGAGGACAGGCTGCAGCCCACCAGCACATCCCTGTGAGCAGAAATGTGATCGCGGGGACCCAGTCCGCAGACGTACCTGACACAATTGTTGAATGCTACAGTCAGCCGACGGAGTGTGTCACTATCCGCCAGGAAGAATAGCTCTGCTCCATATGAGAAGAATGGCATAATTAGCGCTCGCACGAGAAGCAACCGAGTGTCGTAGGGCGTGATGTCCCGATAGCGTCTGAGGACGTAAAGAGAATAGTTGACCTTGCGGCAAAGGGTGGTGGCATGATCAGACCAGGATAGTGTCGAATTAAAGACAATACCAAGGTTTTTAACCTGATCCGCATAAGGGATAACTTCACCGTTAAGAAGAACGGTGAAATAAGGAAAGTTAGCACTCCTTTTTGAGAAGATAATTGCCTGCGATTTTTTAGGATTTAGGCGAAGCCCATTTGAAGAGGCCCAGTGCCCGATTCGGGAGAGGTTATCATTGAGAAGTTTGAAAGCACAGGAAGAGTTTGAAGGATCACCTTCAACGTAAATCTTATTTATTTATTTATTTTTATTTATTTATTTATTTATTTATTTACTTTTTGTAATAAATGTATAATAATTCTTGAGATGGACCGGTGGATTGCTCGCTTATACTGGTAGTGCTCGCCTTCAGTGTGCTACCCTCTTAGTGGGATTTTGTTCATGGGTGAATACTGTTGGGGTGTATTAAGAGCCTTGCCGGGAGTTCTCATGCTGGTATTTCTATTTCGGGGTCTATAGGGCCCGTCTTGGCTTGGATTATCTCTCTACTTTGCTCAAGTCAGCATATGCTCTTTTGTTGTCATTATACTTTTCTACCCCCCCCCCCCCAACCCCCCATGTCCTGCCGATGTGTTGCCTTCGGAACTCTGGAAGTGATGAAACCTTGGTGGATCACCAATTTGCAAAATGATATCATCACAATTTTATAAACCCATTTTAAGTGATTTGTGATATTGTCACATTTGGTATTCGCAAATTTATCTCACAATTCCATTATATTTCGATCTATTTTTTTTAATAGTATCTTCTATTTTGAGAATTACGTTAACATTGTTCATATCCACCTAGAATAGATGATTTATGTTAGCCTGAAGACTTCTATACGAACTATGCCAAAGATGTTTTTTTTATCGAAATTATTATAGAAATTATACTATACTATACTAATTTTTATATACAGGTTGCTTCAGGCCCGAAGAAGGTAAAAACAACCAAAGAACTGTTGGCCGACTTGCAAAGTCGCAAGTTGGGTGCTTCGTCAGCTACGACTTCTCCTGTGTTTCCACTACGTATGCCCGCAGCAGTTACACCAGAACCCGAGGAGATATTGGTAGAAGTTCCCACTTCAGGGGACGTGGAAAAGGAGATTCAAGAGTTGAAGAGACAGCTGGCAACCTTAGTGGATACGCAGACTGGCGTTGAGGATGAAGTGGAACCAGCGTGCACATGCACGTTCACGGAAATCCATGAGACTGAAGAATTGGGGAACGGAGTGACCAAGCCAAGCGTATTGGTATTGGATGGACTAAAAGTGGCTGTGACGGATGGTGAAACATCCATGGGTGGTCGGAAGCCACCGGTCAGATCTATTTTTGATCTCGATGAGACTGACGACCCCACCAGGATTGAGGTAAATTATCATATTGAAACGTTTTTATGAGTAAAATAACCAGATTTCAGTGAATTTTTTTTCTTTATTAATTTTTACATGCTGTGAGAAAATGTGCTATTATGAAGATCTGAAATCTATCTGAAGAGTTATAATTAATAGTAACAAGTTTTGTAAAGTATTTTGGGACATATTAGCCAATGATATAGAATTTTTTTGTCGTTTTATCTGGCAGAAGTTGTGAATGTTGACGGCAGCACCACTCGAGTGCAAATAAATATTTTATTTTATTCTTTCCTGTTCTGAAGCCTTTTTAGTGAGCAATTTCGTGTTTAAAATTGTCTTTGAAATGATTTAATTAATTTTCAAAACTATGTTGAACAAGGCAAGTTTAAAATTCTATCAATCGAATCACTAGTAATTGAAATGTACATTTCTCCTTGTGTGATAATGCGGTAATATAAAAAGAAGTGCATCAACCGTATTAAAAAAAAGAGATAATGGTGAAACGATTTAAAAACGAAATTATTTTGTATGGTCAAATGAAATTATATCACAAATTTTCATGTACCGCGGAACTATTTTTTTTATTATAGTAACTGGCTCAGAATTTATAAGCATTAAATTCTTAAACAATATTACGGGCTGTAGTAAAAGAAAAATTGGGAACACTTGTAGAAAATGTATACTCACTTGATTGCGGATTTATTTTCATTCATCTTGAGTATCAGACAATTAGGCTTCTATACAAGACTGACTGGGATGTACTTTTGGGTGATGCACTCTCACTGAATTGGGCTGCCATTTATGAAATCACTGAATTATCCAATCGCTTGCAGTATTTTGCTTCTTTATTCAGTTAGCACTCTTTTTCCTCCGAACACATCGCCCTGGCTTACTGCCACAATCGTTAGTAAATTACGTGCATACAATAAAGCATATAAATGTTGGCACCGACGTCGCCGTAACGAAGACCTCACCCTGTATCGCTCCTTGCGGGGTGAAGTTTAGCAAATAATTGTTTAGGCCAAAATTAGGTATTATTCCACTCAACTCCTCTGCTTCTTTCTGGAAAGCTTTGGAAAACATTGGCCATCTAGTGATAACCCATCAATCAGAGAGCGCTCCAGATGGCGTATCCGCGGATGATTTAAATGCTTTATTTGCCGGTTCTGGACCGACCATTCGTTTCCCTTTTTCTGCCCCGCTGGAGTAGCAGCGAGTTTCTCCTTCCGCAATGTGGACTACGTTGAAGTCTACTCTGCCTTCTGTAAAATCTCATCTCAATGCCAGTGAAGGTGTGCAAATTAATTTTATCAAACCGTTGCTTCTTATAATCCTTTTATACATCTGCGATCTGAGGAATGGAAGTACGCTGTTATCAGACCAATTCCCAAAATTGCTAGGCCCACTTCTGTAAGTGACTTCAGACCGATCAGCATCTTTCCTTGCTTGTCTGAACCTTTTGAGCATCTCCTGAAAGACCAGATCGAAGATTATCTGAGTGAGAGTGATCTACTCAAGCGTTTTCAGTCAGGCTTTAGAAGACATCACAACTCAATGAGCACACTTGTTCGTGTGCATCACGATCTTGCGACCCATCTCGATCGCCGACAATTCCCCATCTTAACTCTTCTTGATTTTTTAAAAGCCTTTAATACCATAAATCACGACTTTTTCTGAATAAGCTCTTTAATTTCTATTCCTTCTCTTCCTGTAGTGTCAACCTTATCCGTTCGTATCTAACTGGTCGTACTCAAGCAGTCAAGGCAGGCGATACGCTTTCTTCGACCCTTCGCCTCTTCAAGAGGATTGGTCAGGGTTCCGTACTCGGGCCTTTATTCTCCTCACTGTATATAAATGACTTAGCCACTGTTCTCCGACCTCATTTATATGCGGATGACCTGCAGATTTAAGACTTTGACAATCTTGATTCGCCCGAGTCGTGTTTCGCAAGGATCTATGAATTGCTCTTCTCTGTGTCTAGCTGGGCGGCGCAGAATTACCTTCTGCTTAACCCTAAAAAGTCGAAAGCCTTACTCATACGCTCTGGTAAGCAACATCCCACCGCTTTCCCGATTTTCCTCAGTGATGCAGCAATTCCCTACGTTCATAGCGCCAGAAATCTTGGAGTTATCTTCAATGATCCCTTGGCGTGGGACGACCACACTTCCCACATCTGCAAAAAGGTGAATTTCACTCTTTCCACGCTTCGAAGACACAAGTTCTTCATTCCCCAGGGTGTTCGGCTTTCGTTAATCTGTGTCTTTCTCCTTCCGGTCCGTCCTATGGTGCTGAACCATTCTTTTCCTGTGATCAAGACTCTATGCATCGCCTCACTGTCACATTCAACAACTGCATTAGATTTATTTTTAATCTCCGGCCTTTCGATCATGTTTCCCAGTGCTATCACCTTGTGCTGGGACAGGCAGAACAAACTCTACATCTGGTAACGCGAATTACCTGAGAATATATGAATGTTTACGTGAGTAAATCCTGGTGTGAATGCGTGAATGTCTGCCTGTATGACTGACCTGAGAATGAAACCCAAATGCTATGAATGTCTCGTGCGTGAATGGGTATGAATGGTTGGTTCGCTACCTGTATGATATAATGAAGATAATTAGAATAATGTTAAATCCAATCCGGATCCGAATGACGAATTCTGCGGACGTCTCCTTGCTGCTTCAATCGATACACAAAACTTGTAATAATTCACTTTAATAACGATGTAATTTTTATATTCAAAGAAATGCCTTCAATGGCTGACGCTTTTGGCTCGATCTCCTTCTTCCCTCTCATTGCCTCCTCCCGTTCGCGATTACTTCTCCTCTTCGCGGCAAGTGGCGCGCTCTCGCGGAATATTATCTGCGTGCCCGTTTCGCGCAGATCCAACATCTTTTCCTCAAGTCGCGCGCTGTCGAATTCATTTCTCGCACACTTCACTTGCGTCAGCCCCATTATTTGGCTAAACTACTCGCGCCTGGCTCGTCTGTCAGGTCTTCGAGTATCTTTGTGCTGATATCGAAGAGTTGCATCCTCCGAAACCTTTTTTTGTTGACCGGGTGTTTACTACTTTTTTCATTTTGTAAGAGATGGGGAAGAAAGCCTATACAACTTCTGAAAGAGCTTTTCCACCGTTTTACTCTGGAGGTTGGTCTTCAACGCTTAGACGTCGTTGGACGCAAAGTAGGCTCACAAAAGCTTATTATCCTTTTGAGCGATTAAGAAACGTATTCATTCGTTATATATTTTGCAACAATAATTATTTTAAACTTATTTGGGATTTATGTCATAAATTTTTAACATTTCCAGTTCGAATCGGCGACGACACACATGTGTGACAGATTCACTCGATGGCGATGCCTAGAGGATCCCACGTGTCCAGCTCGTCGCGAGTACGGAGAAGTAACAGCAGAAGACGTGAGCGCGCTGCACAGCTTATCCCTCGGGAACGTAAATGGCAATTGGTCTGTGGTGACACCTTCGGACGATGCGGAATCATTAATGCCGGAATTGCCTGTGCGTGTGGTACCATACTATGGTCACTTAGTGCAGGACAGTGTGCCCAAATATCCAGAACCAGGCGTACGGTGGCGCCGGAAGCGGCGACGTGCTAATAATAATGCCGATGACGATGAAGTGACTCCAGAGGGCGTTTTCAGGGAGTGGTTTCAAACAATCCACCTAAAATCCTACAATGACGAATTAATGACCATTTTGCCTTATGTAGTTATTGATTAACGTGTAACAAGTTATCGCGCATTTATGCCACCCAATCATGACTGTATTTTTCTAAAAATTTCAGCTTAAGCTCTTTATCATCTTTTTCGGCTCAGGTCTGCATAAAACATAAACAAGAAAGTCTTCAATTTGTTATGCCTTGTCTAGAACTGATGACTCTTGGGCTTAGGTTGCGGTATTCCTTTATAAAGATATTAACAAAATTTGCGCACTGTAAAGTATAATAAAATAGTGCCCGAGTGGAAAAAACATATATCTGCCAACGGTCCTCAAAGTATAATTATATACATATTCTTGTCTTCTCAGTATTTATGAATTTCACAATTATTAGCGTTTTATAAAATCAGAAGACATTCCATATTTTATTGGGGTTACGAATTCAAAATATTTGATCTTATCTTTCTTTCATTGAAAGAATTCCGTTGTTAATTGTTTTACTATAGATGTTGGTTCCATCTATTTGGAAAAATTGCTTATCTGTTTTTCATCGCTCAATGTGCTGCACTTGAGGAATTCCACTTTCCCAGTTCATTCTTTTTGTCTGTCTCTCTCTTCATAAAACCGATCTATAATACACCGCAGCTGAAGTGGAAAAACGCAAATTCACTAGAAGATCGCCGCAGTGCTTTATATATTAAAAAAAAGTTGTCTCTATTCGGAGCTGCGGTTTACATAACAGGTGTAACATCGTAAAAATACCCAATCCGAAAACTATATTATAGTCCGGGTCAAGATGTTTGTAACACTAGGTCATAACTTTTCACCAATGTGACAGAACCGACGTTATGACAGTTTGAATTTCTGATTTTGAAAATACTATTTTACTTTAGTTCTCTTTGTCCGATTTTTATAATCTTAAGTCTTATTTGAATGACGATGTAGTTCTTTACAACTATTTAGAACAACAGAAGTTCATCTGAAAACCGCTTGAGCCGCTAAAGTCTTTAAAAATTCTTTTAAAATTTTAACAACAAAAATTTTCTTTGGAAACGAAATTGTTTTGATGAATTGTCTCAAGCATTTTGATAAATCAGTTTGAGTCATTTCCAAAATGGGGTTGTATTATCCTGTCGAAACCGTAAAACCCAAGTTACAGTAGTTTCAATGTCTCACATAAAAATTTAGACTAATTTCTATTAAATTTTCTGGTTGAATTTTTTTTTTCAAAATTGCCATATTTGATGTTGGCTACTAGCAAATATCAGAAGTAGATTCTTATGGGAAATTTTTTTGTGAGTTTTTTGACTTCATTTGTTTCTAGTCATAAATTTTAAAATTCAAAACTGTGACTGTAAGTTTAGACACGAAAATAATTTATAAGATCCAAATTATTTTGCACACGGTTCTACCTGATTTTATGAGAACTTACTTGACTTTAACGTCCCTTGGAAGGGCATAGCAGTATCGGTTTGAGAAGATATTCAAGACAGGTTTGTTTTGCGATGGCAGATTGTTAGTTTGCCGTAATTTAACAGACATTGAGCATATTTAGTCAGGCGTTGAAAACAACAGAACCAGCTGATGGAGGTAATCATACGCTGCCTTGGAACAGGTAAGTTAGTCGAGAGAGCTATATGAGAGTTACAACCCCATATGAGAAGCAAACCCCTAACCCTTTAAGAGGCTTAAAACAGTTTCGCGATGCATGCAAAAGAGAACGCTCAGTCCCAAGCCATGTATGTCATCGCAAGATTTATGAAACACAGTTTCGATCTGCGGTTTTCTGTTTTTTTTTGTTAGTTTTAAGGGTAATAGACTTGAGTTTGGCTACTGATACAAGAGTCATGCCCCTCGCAGTACAAACCAGGCAGTAACCAGAGATCAAGATGGAAATAAATAGTTTTTAAAATCAGGCTACATATCTGTTATAGTCATTTTCATATCTACATATTTACATACATATTCTTTTTTGAGTTAGATCCAAGATTATTATACACTATACTTTATTTTAGCAAATTATTTCGACTTTATTTGTTGACAAATTCTACTTTATTTTGCATGTAGCAGATGTGAAGAAAACAAATTTGAAACAATCGAGCTATTTAAACTCTTGAAAATAATATATAAATTACAGTTATCGATATATATGTAAGAATGTTTCAATCCGAACTCAATATTTTTCGAGCTTGATATTTCGCCTAGTGAAAAGTAATTAGAGTACGTGACCTATGTTCGCTTGGGCGCGATTATAAAGAAAATATTTCAAGATTTTCTTCACTTACTAAGGAAGCTATCCCATTACGTTCAAATGTCAGTAAATCATTGCCAATACCGACACTTATTGATTAGTCCTTAAATTTGATTTAAATTATATTTTCCCTAAAATTGTATTAAAGTTTGGTAAAAATTCATTGCCGATGATGTAGATTAGAAAGTACTAATGCTAAAGCCGTGCACGAAGATGTAAAAATACAACACTCCCATCCTTAAAATTTGCATTTAATTGTGCATTATTCATACTAACAACAACATTGATATGATTCAGGATAAAATAAACGCCTAAATTGAAATTCTTTCTCAAATTTCGATATAAAATACCACTTCAGAGAGTTTAGTTGCTGTTACTTTCCAGTGCTGTGAGAATATATATATATATATACATACACACACACACATATATATATATATATATATATATATATATATATATATATGTATGTATGTATGTATTTTTCACAATATACAAAATGTTTGAGGAGAAGAAAGTGTACATTGAAGAAAAGACAAACGGCGGAAATAGAGAAGAAATTGGGCACCACTTTAAACAATAAGATGTGACTATGAAGTTTAATGCTCTCTCGTAACCAAAACCAAATATTGAAAGAGTATTCTATGTACTTTTTCTTACTGGAATATGCGCAAAAAAGATAATTCGTGGCATCTTCTATTCGCGATCACCTCCTGCACCATGTCTTGCAGTTGACAGACATATTTTATAATAATCTCCTGCAATAGATATTGTTTCTCCTGCGAAACCATCTTCCACACTCACTTCTGTAATGTTTTCTACGATTGACACATACATTTTATAAAAATGCTTTTCTACTTATTGCCAAATTTTGGCATCAGGAGCATTAAAATACTAAACGCACAAGAATAAGAACAGTCCGCGTGACCACATGAGCAATGTGAGGTTGTTTTATCACTCGAACTGTGACGACACATGACTTGTGAGCCCTTCAGAAACCGAATCCTTTTTACACTCTGCCTCGTCGCTGAGTAAATAAAAAAATTTTTCACTGAAATGATAGTTTTCAGGATAAAAAATCCTTCGTAATGTTAATTAGTGTAGAGCGAAATGATGTTAATTAATGTAGATCCTTTACCGCGAACTTGCCAGGTAAATATTGCGTGAAATAAGCATTTGTTGAAGAAGTTTCGTAAGGGCGTTAAAAAGTCCCGGGCCTGTGCAAAAAATATGAAAAACCCAATCTGTTCAGTATGCCAAAGGGTGATTTTACTCGAGTTAGAAGATAAAGAAGAAAAATGCATAAAACTAACGGCTTAGATAGAGACATTAGCGTGCAAATATGCTCTGCAAAGGTTTTCACCATTAATATACATTGAAGTGTCATCAGTTGTCAATTGTTGGCACACACTCAACGAGGCTCATGGAATGAGAGAGTGTGCGCCATATTTAAAAATAAATCGACAAGATCTGTGCACCTGTTCTTCCTTCTCAGCAGCAATATGGATTTTTCAAATTTCTTTTCCGCACCGGAAGTGTGCTTGCTCTTTTGTCTTGCAAATCACGAAATGTATTTGGTCGCAAGTGGACAATAAATTAAGTATTCATTGAATGAAGTGCAGAAATCACATCAAATCGTCACGTTGCAGTCATAAAAAGCCCATCAATTGTCACATGAAACAGGAACCAAAGAATTTCACCCCGGGTGCCCAATTAATTCCCGCCAAATCATCACCCCTATATCAAGTTACATTTCTGAGCCGGAAGCATTTACGTAAACGAAATTTACTACTAATGCATCATATTTCCTATATTTGTCTGGATCATTATAATCAGAATTGTCCACCCATTTCATAAGTGAAATCATCGTTAAAAATTGGCGAGACCAGGTCGTTCGAAGAAAACTCATGTCTGGCATTTTCCATTGTTAAATGATAATTTTTAGCATGAGTCTAAGAATTGCAGTTTAATTTTATTTCTAAGATGAGACATTTGATTTAAAATTTGAAAATTGGGCTATTCTTAATATTAAATTGCTTTGAACACCCTGTGGATGCATTATTAAAAAGTCTGCACGTAGAATAAAGCATTTGTTAGGTTTAAATCTTCATTTAATCGTTAAAACTCAGTTGGATATCTGAGAATTGTAGTAGAATCGATATATTCACAGAGTCTACAGGAAGCAAAAATTAATTTCAAATATATCAGCGATATAAGCTTTTTCGGTAAAAATTTGATTGACTATGGTGTTTTAATAACTACAGCATGGGCAATAATTATAGTTCCAGCATATCTCTCTACTTGCGTAGCGGCCTGGAGCATAAGCAAAAAAATCAAAGACGATGTTAGATTGCATATCCATAGCTAAGTCGAAACTCTCAACAAGAGGGTCTTTCGCCTGAGCCTAGGGATCCTAAGAAACCGTGTCACTTTTCTGCGTGGGCAATGATTATAGTTCTAATCTAAAGATTTGGCTATTACTCATGGAAAACATATCAGAAAATTCCTAACACTGTCTTTGGGCATCAGTTTTTGTCTCGTGATCATTTACCATCACTAAATCCTGCCATGGTTCATCATGGATCCTATTGTCATATTTCTGTACTTAGAACTCCTTGATTGCTTTATGTAGCTATACCACATTGAACTTTTCCCACCCATGAGCCCAAATTGCTTCACAGAGCATGACTTAAGCCTTTTGAACATAATTGGAATACCTGGCTATGTTTTCTGTTTCGTATATTGGCTTTTAACACTATTACCTTGGTCTTTTTCTGCTTCCTTATGCCCAAACTAGCTCAACACTCGGAAGATCATTAATGAAATGGGGTAGAAAGTTCACACGTACACGATTCGCGTATGATTATGGGGTAGCTGGGATTTACTGAAGTTGTGTTTAGTGCATGGGATAGTTAAAGGGTCCCATAAGTGCATGGTTTGATCAGTTTGAGGCATTCGGGAACGCTTTTATGCGTGAACTACACTTTTGCCTTATCTCGACTATCCTAGGCAAAACAAAAAGTGAAAAGGTGTTTCCAACCACTTGTCTTACCCATGTTTTGATCTCTTTTATACGAAATACCGTTATCTATAATTTGCTGGGTTATTTGTCATCTTTGCAAGAAATAATTTTCCGTATATTTTTCTTTGAGATTAAAAAAAAATTGCTTACACTTTCTCTTTATTTTCTACAAAATAATAGAATAACGATATCTGTGGTACAATAATCAGAGCGTTCAACTCTTTACTGTATAGACGTTAGGTAAATACCCGTTACTGATTAATGATTGATCACATCGGCAAAGTCATGATATACAAAAAAGAACGATTTGATTTTTTTTTTAATATTTTTCGTTATTAAATACACTTAACCTATTCTCTGCTCATTATTTTGTACAATGTTTTGCTTAAGAAAATTTGGTTTAAGAATGACAACAAAGATTTCTGTTATACGTTTGGGAAGAATAAAGCTTATTATATGTTCCAACCTCTATTTAGGATATCGATTGT